ATATATATATATATATATATATATATATATATATAGTCATTCTTTCATTTGCTTACTGTCAGCAAAATGAAAATGTGCTTCATTAAGTGAATTGTTGACAATATACTGAATCTATTCTGGGGCAATTCAAATTAAAATTAGAAAATTAGATGGTGAGCAAGACTGGCAAAACCTCATCAGCAATGAGATTCTTAAACAAACACAGACACAAATGCACAAGCTTCAGCATTTCCATAACAAGGCAGACACCCATGCTGACACCTACCTGCATCCACCTTACACCAATTCACACACACCATGTAACCCATGCACAAATGAACTCATTCACGAATACAAAAACCACACCACGAACACAAAACTCATGTTATGTACAAGTCTCTTCTTCCATTTTCTGTTTATGGGGTAACACAGGGGCCATGACTGTCCCTGTAGCGTGTTTCAGTATCTTTTCATTTTATCTTCATGTTTCCACACTATACTGGGTTGACCCAGGTCTCATGCCACATATATGACCCTGATAAAAGACATGCATCCCTAGCTAACTGCTTCTGTCACATTCATCTGGTTTCACTCATCACCTTGACATCATGAATGAAGTAAAGCCCGAATTAGAGGATACCTGAAAGATGAAATCTACACTTGGTGACTAGTGTGCCAAGTCACACTGCAGCTCACAACTGCAGAGCTAGTCATCCTCTATCAATGTATGCAAAGTCCTCTGAGTCATTACTGTGGAAAGACACAGCGAGACTATCTTGCTGGCATTCAATCAAGCAAGATTTCCATTATTGTGGCTGTTCGCCCTACCATGACCAACAATGGTTTTGTTGTATTATTTTCATCAGGATCAATTATTGAATTGTTATGCTCACTGTGATAAATAATGACATGCTTGATTTTCAATTCTGTCCATTCAGGAAATTGCAGTTTTTTCTTGCTTGCCCCCTTGATGTTCGATAAATCATAATCGTTGCCGTCTTCAGCTTTGTTCACAATGGGAGACGCCTTCTTCTAGTACTTTTTCTTGTGCTGTATGGGGCCAGGCATACTGTGTTGTAAGTACATGGAAGAAAATGAAACGCTGTTCTGTTCTGATGATATGTGAACCTCTGCCTTGCCCTTTCTAAATGACATGGCTGAATGTGTATTGGAGTACAGCCTACACAAGGACATGAAGCTTTTTAGAAATGAAACGTGTGTATACCACTGGTGCAGGCATCAAAAACAGAACAAGTTAGATATCAGAATTCAAAGCGATTGTGCTAAGAATTATGGTCCCTTGCTGCTGGTTTTATGGATGCGTGTGTGTGTGGGTGTGTGTACGTGTGTGTGTATATTTATTTTGATAGCCTGACAATCGGTCCATCAAGGCCCCTGCCTTTGACTGCCACCTGATCTACATTGCACCCCTACGGCTCCCCCTGCAGGTGGTGGCCCACAGGAGGGCGGATCCATGTTATTTTTTCCGGCAATGCCTGGCTGGGCCCTATGGAGGAAGGCCCAGCCACCAGGCGCTACCCCTCGAGCTCCTGCCCCAGGCATGGTTCCAGGGCGAGGCCTTGGTCTCCCCAATCCAGATGGGATAACATGCTCCTGTATCGCAATCATCATAGGAGTCTGTTTGAACTGCACTTACTCTGGCCACTCACCTAGGACCAATTTGCCTTGGGAGACCCTACCTGGGGCAACATAGCTCCTAGGATCATGGAGGCACACAAACCCCTCCAACACGATAAGGTGGTGGTTCATGGAGGGGTAGAGGAAGTAGAGCTGGAAGACTTGAAGGATGATTTGCCCATCTCTGGGGCTGAGGACCGTGAAATAGTCAAACAACTACTTGGTGGTAGGACTCTAGGGGTGGATGAGATTCACCCTGAGTTCTTGAAAGCCCTTGATGTTGTTGGGCTGTCTAGGCTGACATGCCTCTTCAACATTGCATGGGTATCGGGGAGAGTGCCTTTGGATTGTCAGACTGGGGTGGTGGCCCCAATATTCAAGAAAGGGGACCAGAGGATGTGTTCCAACTTTAGGGGGATCACACTCCTCAGCCTCCCTGTGAAGGTCTATGCCGGGGTACTGGAGAGGAGGGTCCGTCTGTTGGTCGAACCTCGGATCTAAGAGGACCAATGCGGATTCTGTCCTGGTCACTGAACAGTGGACAATCTCTTTACCCTCGCAAGGACACTGGAGGGTTCATGGGAGTTTGCCCAACCAGTCTACATGCGTTTGTGAACTTGGAAAAGGCATATGAGCATGTCCCTTGGGGGGCCCTATAGGGGGGGCTCCAGGAGTTGAGGAATGAGTTCCGTGGTCGCGGGCCATCAGCCAAGGATAAGAGTTTGCAACGTATGCCACGAGCCTGATACTCTCAGGGCATACACATACACACACTATGGGCAATTTAGCCTGTCGTAGGAAACCAAAGTATCTGCAATAAAGGTGCACAGCTTGGGGAGAAGATGAATACTCCACACGCATGGAGTGGAGGTGCCAGGGCTGACCACTGAGCCATCATTCCATCCATCTGTGCATCAATTTTTCAATAGAGAGTAAACAGGGATCTAGAGCCTATTCCAGTCAGTACAGGACAAAGGCAGGGGTACCGCACTGAATGGGATAGCAGTCTGAGATGCCACGCTGCGCATAATTTTAATAGTGATCATTACAATAGTATAGTAATTGTTTTGTTCAAAAACATGGTGGGTTGCTTCTTCTTACAAAGGGAAAACAAATCAGACAGTAATCATTAACGTCTTTCAGGTGCAGGGACGTGATAATATCTCGCTGAGCATCAATAGAGGGAGATGTGTAGAGGTGGGTCTCAATGTAAACGGACAGAGGGCTCGATTCTGTGCAGGGGATGGGGATTGGGTCACTGAGATAAGACTTTTGTAGGGTCGAGTTCTGAGGTTCAAACTCAGGTGAAGGACATGAAGATAATAATAATAAAAACAAAGAAATAGAAGAGAATAAATCATTTAATCTCCCTGCCCCTCCCTCATCATGGGCCGGCGGTTAACACCAGTTCTCAGGCTCTCAGCGTATGATTGCTTGGCAGCAGCTTTGCTGCATAGATGTGTGTGTCTGTGTGTATTTGTGCTAAGTGGGATGTAAACGGGGGAGATTCAACTGTTAGATTTTGCTCATAGATACAGGAGGCTACTTGTACCCTGAGTTTGGGAGTATTTACATGTCAGCTAATTGGCTAAGCTAAGTGACGCTAATGTCACTGCGAGCCAAGTGTCAGCACATCGTGGCGATTTATGGCACTCGGGTACAATAACAGCGAGTGTCAGGTTTAATGGAGGTCCTGCAGATTCTTCACTTCATCCTTAAAAGGGGAAACAAACCTTTTGAACAGCAAATTGGGTTATTATTTCTACAAACCTTACTGCTCTCAAGTGGGTGAAATCCTACTTTGTAGCTAATGAGGCAGCTTTCAGCTACAGGGTTTGTGTTTAACAATACAGTTATTCATTACACGAACCTCTAACTAAAACTCTTATGGTTTATTTTTTTTAGAATGAAAATTAGATTTAGAAGTAAAAGTGCAGTTTGGAGGTGGGGAGGACCTTTAAATGGGGGGGGGGGTGAAATGTGCATGAAGGACGTCGACCTTTGGTCTTTGCTCCACCCAGGTATGTATCGTGCAGAAGAGGGACACCAAAAAGATGTACGCCATGAAGTACATGAACAAGCAGAAGTGCATCGAGAGGGACGAGGTGCGCAATGTCTTCAGGGAGCTGCAGGTCATGCAGGGCCTGGAACACCCATTTCTTGTCAATCTGTGGTGAGTTGGACCCTCCCCCCCCCTCCCCCCCCAGCCTCGCATCTGAATTCTGAGCCTCAAAGACCAACCTTCTTTGCTGCATATTGTGTCATTGTACTTGAAAATGGTTTCAAGGGCTGCCAAAGTAATGTAAGCTTATCCTTCTTATTGCCTTTAGTCAACGTATCCGAACCTTAGAAATCATGCAAAAGATCTACATTGGATGCAATTCAATGCTGCAGTAGGAAAGACTGGAAAAGACAATTCAGACAACTCAAACACAGACTGTTTATCATCATGAGGCTCCTGCACCGTCTGCCAGAGCATCTCCAAGTGATTGTAGTGCCTTTCAGGCTCTCGTCAGTGCAGAGTCTGCTGTATAAATCCGCAGGAAGCTAAAAACAGCAACTTAAATTCTTAGCTCACAGATCTGCACAGGCCTGCATTTTTGACCTGGACAAAATTGGCAGTTTTGCCATGGAAACCAAAGAGGGCAGACAGCCAAGCCCTGCTTGGGCAGGTCTATAAACCCCAACACTCATCAGTTCTGGATAGAGTGCAAATCTGTGTGACTTCCTATGTCCTACTTCTATCTATCTATCTATCTATCTATCTGTCTGTCTGTCTATTTGTCTGTCTGTCTGTCCGTCCGTCTGTCTCTTTTTTTCGCTTGGATTGGGGAGGGGGATTGTTTTGCTTCTACCCACAATGCCTTTACTGGGCTGTCAGAACACGTCTACAAAATGTTTTTGGGGGGGATCCCTGCACCATTGATAACTGGCCATGGATCAAGCTGTTGCCAGCACTTTCCTCACAGAAGGACTCCAGTTCAGGGTTTCTGTTTGTTTTTGTCTTTATTACAAACCTTATTCTGAGGACAAAGAGCCCAGATGTCTGTTTCTGATGTTTATCTGTCACTTTCAAAAGCCTTTCTTGTATTGTGATGAGACAAAAATTTGAGAACCAAGACCACATTCTACCCACAGATATAATGTTAGGCTTTTCAAATAGAATTATTCATTTAAATCATAATCCTTTAAAGTAAGGGTATTTTTAAATCATGATAAGAGTGGGGGTTTGCATGTAAGGCATTTTGGCCTGGGAATGTGGTTGCATGTAATATGCTGATCAGACGTTCTGATGTGGACGTATAGCGATAAGGGACAATCCTGGAAGTCAGACCATTGGAAAAAAATATATATTTTGGGAGGTGACCTCCCCGTGGTCAATCTCTTGCAGAGGAAAAAACACAATGACTTTTGATTCTGGGTGGGGTGGGGAGGGGGTGTGGATATAGATGGATGTAGAGCCTCAATCACTGGATTAAGAGAAGATGGGGTGCGATTCCTGAGGCTGGCTTGGGGGGGGGGGGGGGGGGGGGGGGGGGAGCCTGGCCTGTGGATGACAAGGCACCCTCACCCTCGCCCGGTCAGGTCTGGGGCTCGATCCCAGATGGGATCCCCGCTGTTGAGCTCTGTTTCTCATCGTATGGAGCATGCTTCTTACGTTATGTAACCAGACGTTTTAGAACGGACTAGAGTTTTAAAATGCATAGCTCTCTAGTTGCTCAAGCTTGCTTTAAAACGCTTGATCGACCAGCCATGGGCAGATGAGGCAGGATGCAGGAAGCCAGGCCTGTCATGTGATGGCAGGGAAGAGTCTCCCTTTCCACACAAGTCCTTTCCAGGGTGACAGACTCAGCGCATCAGGCTTTGATCCTGACTGCCTCCCAGCCAGTGATTAGGGCCTGCTGATGGCCCCCTCCTGGGAACACAGCAGCTCAGGGAGACAGCAGCCTGCACTGATAGGTGGCCTCCGAAGCCCTGATGCTGGCCCAGTGGGTCAAGCTGCCACCAGGAGGCACATACTCAGGACTCTCTTGAAGCTGCACCTGGCCTTTAGTCAGCAGACTCACTATCCTTCTATATACTTAGCAGTGACTTACACAGCTTTTGGGGTCAGAGAGAGCAAAACAAGCCTCTCTGTGGCAGTTAGGGTCAATGATTTGGGTGACAAGGGCAGCCATGGCATTCAGGCTGACAACCTTCCAGACATACATCTACCCCTCTGAGCTACACACAGCCCCCGTCACCATTCCACTCTTAGGGCTTCCCCACAGAACCTCTCTTGTTATGGCGGAGCATAATGGAAGGACGATCCACACAGCGGCTCTCAACAAATAGGGTTTAAAGAAACCTACATCATGATGTCAGTATAACAGTGCACTCTGTAGGTATACATACATGTGTGTGTGTGTGTGCTACAGTTTATGTACAGTGTGTAACTGTATAAAGTATATCTACTGTATAGTATGAAATGCAAGTGGAATACTGTAATATGAAACATTACAAAAAGTTTACAGCATTACAATACAGTACACATTGTTGGACTGTATACCTGTTTTCTCAAAAAAATGTTTGAATGACTGAGGACACAGTTGTTCTCCCAACATTCGGCTGCACCCTTTGACCAGCTTCGGTCATTGTAAGGACATGATTGAGGACTTAGTCCACAATTGTGACCCTTATTTCATCAGGAACGCGCCTCTGTTCTTGGCCTCTTCCACCTCTTCCTGTTTTGCCTCCCTACCCTTCCACCATGCAGCCTTACTCCTCTTCTTACCGGCTGTTAATCCTGTTCATTTCCTTTTTGCTCTACCATTGTCAAATTGTAACATGCTGCTGTGCTCTGTCGATGTACGCTTGCCAAAGTTCCTGAGATGCACCTCTGAGGTATTTTAGAGGACTGGTTGATCACTGGTCAACTGAGAGAAATTCATGACACATTTACAAAAAAAAAAAAAAAAACTGTAATAGAGATCTATAGAAAATACGCGTGACAGATTATGACAATTTTGACAACCATTTTGCATGTAATGACTTATACAATTAACTAATGCCTAGATGTTTTAGGGGGTAGGGCTATTCAACAGAGAACCGTTATAATACATTTTGATCAATATGACGTAACCGATTGATAATGTAGGAATCAGCAGATGATTGTATATAATCATTTTCAGTACTGTGCCAAAGCATTTGCAATTTGAGCAAATGAATGAGACTTCATATTTATGCGCACAAGTGACTTGATGATGTGGAGATTGTACAGGTAGTTATGAGAATTTCATTTCTGATCTGAGAAATGTATCAAAGCAACTGAAATAACCTATTACAAGAAGCACAACAATAAGCAGGGCATAAGAATATCAAGGAGGGTGAGGCTGGTCTCTAGCCAGCCTCAAACCCATGATGATGTCCACTTAGCCCATTAAGCCACACAATGGCGAAGAATGAGGAAGAAGGGAACACATTAGGTACTAAGGACATAGGATGGCCTGCTGGCCAAACAGGGAACAGACATGGGGCAGGGACTAATCCTGACACTTCCTATTACCGGTAGCATCATAGATGATTGTACACGCCACTAAGGGGGACTTCAGCCACCCTAAAAATGTGATTGTTAGGGATCTGGGGGGTAGCTTAGTGGGAGCTGAGCCCACTTAAGGCTCAAAGTCTACATTCAAAGCTGGTTAGCATCTTCGGTGGTTGGGCGATGCAGTACTCTCGCTCTGAATATGCTTCTCGATCTAGCACTGAAGAGCAAAAAGTGTCTGAGGCTGTGTAGAGGGGGAGGGGTGGAGTTGAGGGTTTGCAGTCCTTTTGGGGCCTGCACCGTCTCTCAGACACGGTGGATATTCTCTGCTCAGCCGGGCATAATCTTTAAGGCCTCTGTGACGTGCTTAGCCCTTGTCTGATGCCAGCTCTCCTAACATCAGGCCAAGCTCCATTAACTAGCCACATTGACATGGGGACGGATGACTCACGCTTTTCAGAGATCTTTTTTACCCAGAGACTGACGTATTGTCTCTCGAGAGGCCAACAGCAACAAATAACTTCCATCTATTGAGTTTTTAGCTATTTATCTTCAAAAAGCTCTTATCTCGTGATTAATTGCACACAAAATGCATATGCAAGCCATTTGACTATACTGGCAATCATAAGTATAACTAGGCACTTATGGTTACTGTAACTAGTGAATGAATGCAAAGTGACAACATTATAGGAATATCATTCAGACCACCCTCTCAAGTTCCATTCTTTTGTTAAGTAGCTCCACGGGTTGGGGATCAGTGGCAGTGGTCTTTGGAAGGTCTGCAGAGTAATCATAATATGGTTCAGCCCTCGAGCAAGAACCTTTATTCCAACTGCTCTAGGGATACTGGCTGACCTTGCTCTCTGCTCCTCATTTGCATGTTGCTTTAGACAAAGTATCTGCTAAATGAGCATTTTTAAATATGAATATATTTATATATTATACTTTAAATATGACTTTTAAATACGAGTTGTATTCACCCCTTCTTTTATAAGTCCCGTCTCTACTGTCCTTAGATTTCAGTTTAGCTAAGCACTTAATTAAAATGACCTATGCTGTTGTTTGAACGAGTCATTTACCTTAAAATTTGAATAGCTTTTCATTAAAATCATGTGAAGTCAAATGCACTGCCTAAAGACTTTATTTTTTACAGTTTTGTAATAAATATTGCGGTGTTGGTGGCCCAAGCGCCGACCGGGCAGCATTTTGCATGTCCCAGCATGCCCCGTGAGTGACTGTAGATAGCCCCTTGCAGTATTGTTGTGTGTTAATACTTATGCTCCCATTTGTTGTGTGTGTGTTTCCCTGTGTCTTATGTGAACCCTGTCCAATCCTCGCCTGTCTTTATCATTGTGTAAATTACCCACCGTGCATGTACCTTACCGTCTGGCATCTAGCCTCCCTGCTTTTCCTTATGTACTATTTGGTTTGGGGCTTGTTGGGTCCTCGTGTGAGTCCTTGTAAGGGCTGTGATAAAAAAGCCTGCTGTTCCCTACAAGCAGGCCTCCTCATCATTTGCTACTACTGCGATTCTTGGGTTTGCCCAGAGCCACATTGGTGTCAGAAATGGAACGCTAGAAGTGGCCCCACATCGTGCAGCAGGTCCAACTCCAGCCTGGCATGCCTGCAGGCAACACTGAAGCTGTGAATCAGGAGAGGTGGCGGTTTTGCAACCATGCTGGCCTGGGAGAAGCTTGTCTGCTGGGGGGCACCAGTTCCACTTCTGCCCAGAATCCTGCCCTAGACCAGCCAGCAGAAGGGCAGAAAGGGCCACAGAGAGGGAGGCACTGCATGAGAAGCTCCGGGCCTGTGCAGTGCACCCTGAAGCTGCCCCTGCCAGCCCACCAGATCCCTGTATCACTGCAGCAGGCCCTGAAGCTGCCCCTGCCAGCCCACCAGATCCCTGTATCACTGCAGCAGGCCCTGAAGCTGCCCCTGCCAGCCCACCAGATCCCTGTATCACTGCAGCAGGCCCTGAAGCTGCCCCTGCCAGCCCACCAGATCCCTGTATCACTGCAGCAGGCCCTGAAGCTGCTCTTGCCATCCTGCTGGCTCCCCGTCCGAGAATGCGTCACTAATCGGGGAGTTTGGGCACTCACAGAGGCTCTGCCTGCTTGCCAGCCACTAGCAGTGGAGCGACCCCAGCCATGAGAACACCCAATGGAGGCAGCAGGCTGAGACTGCTCTTCTTAGTCATGAGGCCCTGCAGGGGAACCAGCCTGGTGGTAAACAACTGATCCACCCTAAAGTCGCAGAAGAAGAACTAAGAGGTCGGGGGGACCGGGATCTTGCTAGCCGCCCAGCACCTACTAGGAGCCCGGCTCCTCTAGAGATCCATAGCTGTTCCATGCATTGGCAGTCCCGGAGAATGGGTGCTGGCTGTGGGAATCACTGGGTGTGGTGTTCCCCAGAGCGGATGACCAATGAGGGGGCGTCCCTGTCATGCCACTGACAGCCAGCAGCTCAGCCTTGCTAGAGCTCAGGAGCTGACGGCTTCTTCCCCCTCCTCATCGGGGATGAACCAGCGGCCGCTGCCGGACCCTGGAACTTTGTGCCGAACTGAGGTGGGACTGGATGTAAGGGGTCGCTGGGATGGCTGACCCTTGGCGGGGGGGTCATGTTGCCTCAGCAGGCCAAACCCCGATTGGGCTAGATTTGCATGTCCAAACATGCCCCATGAGTGACTGTGAATAGCCCTTTGTAGTGTTGTGTTATTGTTAATACTCATTGTACTCTCTTATTGTGGCATGTATGTTTGCCCGTGTCTTATTCAAACCCTGGCCAGTCCTCACGTGCCTTTAGCATTGTGTAAATTACCCACTGTGTCTGTACCTTACTGTCTGGTGTCAAACCACCATTTTCCCCCATTATATTTGGTTCAGTGTACATTGGGTGCATGTGAGAGTCCATGTAAGGGCTGTAATAAAAGAACCTGTTCTTCCCTGAAAGCAAGTTGCCTCATCATTCGCTGCAGTCACAATACTTCAGTCTGCCCGGCACCACAATATTAGTGATAACAGTAATGGTGATAAAATCAGTTTTTCAAGTCTTGCTTGAGTTATCTTACATCTGGCTAATGGTGAGACTCATAGCTGAAACATACACTGAGCTGGGAAGCAGTTCTTATTTTGTAGTTTTCCATACTGGGTAATCAAGAGGCCGTCCTTCAGTAGGGTCAAAGAGGCCTGACTGTAGGAGGCAGTCATCATCCTGCATCTCTGACATCAGCAACCAGTCAAGGCCTTATAGATCATTCCGAGTCGAACCGCCAATGTTTTTTGGGATTATGAGCAAAAGGCACCAAGCATGGGAAATCAATACATTGCTCGGGCACACACAAAATCCTACACACAAGCACATGATACGAGTAATTTAGAGATGACGGCAAGAGCGGGATGGCGTGGCAGAGAGAGTGTGCATGTTTTCCCAATCTCTCTGTTGGACTTGTGGGGCTCAGTTAACAGTCAACCTTCAGGTAACATTTCCACAGCAAATTAATTCAGCGTAATTGACTTCCCTTATCAATTCGCAATGCTGCTAAGTCAAAAATTGTTATGGGTTATATTTAACGTGTGGCCAAACATTCCGGCAGATTTCAGAGGAAAACAACAGTAATAGCTTGAAATAGAATTTACTTTAATAACGACACTATATCATGCTCCAGTTGAGTTTCCAAAATTATGGGAACAGGCGGTGTTTTTATTGCTCTATTATCTTAATTGTAAATACAAATGAATGCTGCACCATGAAAGCCCCCCACCCCCCGAGAGTCTGTCCTCCCATCAGCTCTCCCCAGTATTTCCCACTCTGCAGCTGTGACACATGGGCCAGACCAGCATGTCCTCTGTTAGTCAAGGGCCTTGTTGTTCTCTGCTCTGAACCCACTAGGAGACTCAGGTGTCCAAATGATCTCCACAGCAGTTTTCCCATATAACTGCCCCCTTATAATAGAAAAGTCGACTTTTTGACATCTTGGAGCTTTTATGTCAGTTTTTTTTTACATTTTTAAATGCATTAAGAAGATACTTATTACAGAGATTGTTCATGTTAAGCTGTGTAGCCTGACATTGGAGGGCTGTGGGTTCTGGTCCAGTTTGGTTTTAGTTTTTAAGTCGATTGAAGATGGAATGCAGGTCGAGAATGTTGTTTTTTTCTAGTTATAAAACGAGAAATGAAGGAGCTTGAGAAAGATTTGCAGAACTTTCTTTTTTGTCGAACTATAAAGTATTCCAGCTTTAGGACATTTTAATGATCAGCTGTCTTGCCAAGAATGGCTTTCCTTAGATGTTTTATAACAATGGATTTCTCTCTTTGCTAGGATTTATGGGACTGGATTCTTTTGATCCAAGTGTCAAGGAAATGGTTGCAATTAGTCCCTTTCTGTGTTATTATTGCACATACAGATTAAATCATGAAAAATTTCATTCCACAGACAGGGAGTTTATTCTTTCAGAGGCCTTTGACCTTTAGCCTTCATGAGGGAGGATGCTTTCCTGGACTGACATGTGACTCCAATGATATTTCATAGCTGACTGTGACATCACAACTCTAACATTTTCAGTCAAATGCCTTTGACAACCAGCTGGCTGGCCCTTTAACACACCCACCCACAGCGCACCCTGGCTACTACTTGGATGTTAATTTCAGGATGTGCTTTAATAAGCTAATGGTTACAGGGAGACCTCTGAGGGCAGAATAAAACATCAGAAGAGGGGCATAAATCGTCGGGGGTATCGCTGCCCCTTTTATTACTGCCCACTCGTGGGAAGGGTTACAGTACATCATTTCTTTAGTCAGCACTTAGGGCCCTTAGGCCTCCTGCAAAGTGCCATGGGAATTCACTCCGTTGAAAGTATGTGTAGCATGCAGGACAAATAAAGTGGCCCCTCTAGGACTCCATAGGGCAAAAAATATCACCAGCTAAAGTGAATGTGGCACAGATATAATCAATGCATAAGTTTTATATATTTTCCTTAAAAATGCGGTAGAACTGACAATACTCATTGTTTCACTTATTGCGTTAATTTTATTTTAAAGCTTTTTCAAAATTTTAACACAAGGAAATAACACTGTTTCCTGTGTACACAGAGAGAACTTTCTTTGTATTAGAACAAGTCTGGCGTCCAGCTTAAAGCAGTCCGATTTTCATTGTGAGTGGTGCCTCCTCTTTACCTTCCAGGTACTCCTTTCAGGATGAGGAGGACATGTTCATGGTGGTGGACCTTCTGCTCGGGGGAGACTTGCGTTACCACCTGCAACAGAATGTACAGTTCAAGGAGGAAACTGTGAAGCTGTACATCTGTGAGCTGGCCTTAGCCCTCTACTACCTGCAATGCTGCCACATTATCCATCGGTGAGTGCTCTTACCATAGCAACCAAAAACACTGACACACTGCTGCATGTTCTCATTGTCATTATCATTGATATTATTGTTGCCATAATCAGATGTCATTGTTCTTTTCATTAATGATAATTTAGCATTGTAATGGTTATTATTGTTGTAATCACATGAATAAATATATTCTTGAAGGCATTGTTTATACCTGATGATGTCACAGTAAAGAACCAAAGGCTATTTTCCCTGTGAATAAATCTTTGCAGCTCGTGTTAAACAATCATTCGGTTTCTTAGCCATCTCAGCAGTATAACTGCAGGCTGTTAAAAATGCAATAAAAAATGCAGCAGATGTCCGTGTTATTGGAATTTGCTTATCTTGTCAACATCCCATGAAAAATAATTGTAATATATTTAGTGCATATTTAAATGAATTGCACATTTCCCTTTTTTGGTTGTAACACTCATCAAGTGTGTGACTATAAAGATTCGGTTTATTTGAAGCAAATGACTGGTCTTAAAGGCACCACATGCAAAAATAGAACTACAATAATCTAGTATAAAAAGCCTCTTTGAATTAAACACCAGTGATGGTATCTGTCTTGTAATTAGAGGGAAGGCTACAATCTAGACTTCTGCAGAAAACAGAGAGAGCAGACTTTAATTCTACAGCATATGCCAACAAAACGAATGGCTATGCTGAATGGTAAGCAGAAGATGAATCACCTCTAAACAGCAAGGATTATGAATAAACAATGTACTAGCAATCCTCTCAAACAAAGTATTAAGTTTTGTTTGAACACTTACAGACCATCTGTTTAATTGATTAGGAAATAACTCAATATAGTTTGTTATTCACAAAAAAAGGGTGAATAAGGGAAGTGATTAAACAGCTGTAATCTTGTTGGCTGAGGTCTGAACGATGTTCAAAAGGGAAGTATCATGGTGAAAAAGCCCTATTTTGCCAATGCTAATTGAAGAAGAGAACTATTTTCACAAGATCATCCCCAGAAATTATCTATAACATGACTCTTTCATCTTGAAAAGCTAGACAGCCAAGCAGGAAAGACTAGCATTAGTAACAATGAGGATAAGAAATTGCTATTCATCCTATACTTGGCTGCAAAGGGGAACTGACAGGATGAATTATTATCTCAGAATCTCAGATGACAAGGATTTCACTATTGTGTTAATTGCAAGTGAGAGCAAAAAAGATTTGTTTTTCTGTTTGTTAACATGTACATATATTTGTATCTTCTTTAAAACATGCCATACCTTATTGAAGTGGTAGAAATGTTAGTAGCTCATTACAATGTGGATTTCTAACGTGAAATCATGTGTAGTTAGAGAATTAACATTAACCCAATATAGTTTCCATTTATATTTATTGAACAGACATTTGTCCAAAGTGAGTACGAGGGAGGTAACACAAGTGTACAGTTATCAAGGAGACTATTTAGGCACAAGTGCTTCCAAGCTAAGCTTCCAGTGAGTTTCCAGTAACAAGTGCAAGATTGGTCTGTTGTGAAGTAGAGCTATGTTTTTGTTCTGCGCTGAAACTATATTTAATCTTCAGAGAATACTAAAAGAAATCTGTAGATTCCCTTTGCTGTTTAAGCACCAAAGTAACAATCTCTACTTCTTCAGTATTGAAGTACAAAGAAGATTTTTACTCTACTCAAAAACTCGCTTCTTGCAAAGTCCCTGAGGGATCACAGAGTAATTCAAAAAGCACTTTGCATACAGTCATCTGTATAATTCAAATTCCCTTGGTTACTGACCTCACAGATCCAAAAAAAAATCTGTGACCCCCCACCAAAGTAGCCCTCAAATATGAAAGGCTGCACATGAATCACAGACATCGATTTTCGCCAATTTGTTTCTGGACACCATATTGTCGTGGCTGCCTTTCTCTATTGTTCAAATAAATTGCAACAAACAAGCAGCTTCGACCATGCCATTCAAATAAAAAGTGCTATTGACAAGGTAAAACTGTGTTTAGGTAGGTCACTTGGTGGCAAGATATCTACCTGTTGCTTATTATTGCTGTTGTGTACTGGTTTTGTAAGAATTGTTCATTTTTTTCTAGAGGGATTTTTGTACAGAAACAGACTTGATATCAAATTTGGCTCCCTTATGGAATCTCAGGTTTATTGGTTTGCTCAGCTGAGTCAATCATGTTCTGTGGAGTTTATTTACTCGCTCCATTATGCAATTGGAGAACAGAGAATACACTGTAAGTAACCATGTTGGGATTTGTGCTCACTCTGCTAGAGATAATGACCCCCGGCTCTCCAGTGTCAACAGCAGCTCAGCCACACAGGACAGGCCACACTTACACAGTGGGCACTGAGGCGAGTCCACATTATTATCCTCGACAATCTTGGTGTCGTTCTGTTCACTCTGTGTCTCGTTGATCCCTGGGAGCTCTAAACTCAAGAGATACTAGAAATTGTAACTCAAGCAGCTTCACACCAAGGACAACCATTGGTCAAGGAGCGGAATGTCACGGGGGCTCCGACAGTCATTGGCCATGTCAGAGTCAGCTGCTGTTGTCCCAGTCTGTGCCCTTTTCCCCGTTGTCCTAGTCTGTAGTGTTCCCCCTGCTCCCCGTCGGCCACATGGCTCTCTGAGATGAGTATGCAGCTGTCTGTTACTCCCTCTGTTGTATGTTTGAATCCTGCCTCTTCTGTTTTTGTATTTTGTTCCCTAGTGTTTCATTTGTATGAGTTTTATAGTTCCTGTGTCTTGTACTTGGTTTTGATTTCATGCTTTGTGCCTGTGCTTGTGTTTTTTACCTGTCTGTAATTCCCCTAGTGTAGATTCTGTTTCCTCATTTCTGTCAGAGTTTTAGTTTTCCCCTCCCAGTCCCTGAGTTAATTAGTTCTACCTGTTGCCTGTTCTTGTGCCTGCCCTTGTGTGTTTTCCTGATTGCTCGTTGTCCTGCACCCTCCCCGATTGGTTAATTGTCTATCTCACTCCTGCTGTCTCGTTACCCAATGCAGTTTTCATATTTAAGTTCCTGCCTGAGTTCAGTTCCTCAGTGGTTCATTGATTGTGATTGTTGATGTTAGATGTATGTCCTGCCTGCCCAAACCGCCCGCCTGCCTGCCCGCCCATCTGCCCGCCCGCCCGCCTGCCTGCCTGCCCGCCTGCCTGCCTGCCTAATTAGTCTTTGGTTTCCCCCTTGGCTTTTGACCCCTCGTGGTCCTTTTTGTTTTTTGTAGTCTTCCTAGTGTTTTCTGTTTTGGTTAATAAACCCTGTTTTGTCCTTCGAGCCGTAAGTGGGTCGTCCACATTTCTGCCGGCATCATGCCTCGTTCTCGCGCCCGAATTGCCTCGTTTTGTGACAGAATGATTCACTCAAAAGGACGATCCCCAGGCTCCATAACACCCCTCATGCTGGGATATGTGTCCCTAGCACCAGCTACTGTGCCTGCAGTGCTCGAGTTGGAGAACTCACCCCCTGGACCAGTTCCTGTTCCTGACCTGCACCGACATGGTGAAGTCCGTTCTCTGAGTGCCTACTATGGCACCCGCCTGGCTTTTAAATGTTCCCGGTCTCCTGTGGATACCATCCCTCGAGTCCACAAGTTCCCTAGAAAGGGGAGTTAAGCTCCTGCAGAATCAGCAGTGGAGCAAATAAGCAAAAAATAAGCAAAATGCCAAAAAGTGTTAAAGGTATTATTGTGACACTGGGAATGATTTTCTGTAACATTTATGCATTTACTAAATATCTAGTCCGTTGACTCTATTAGAAGATGGCCAAAGATGATAATCTTGTCCATGACTCATTAATACAATAATACCTAGACATTCAATTTTTAGCAGAAATGTGAAACCCTTGACCTTCAGGAACTTGTCTAAAGACTAAATATGATTATTATAAATCACGAATACCTTAATAAGTGATGTTACTTATTAAGGCTTGAAATGCTTTTGATGGTTTTGAATAATTTTGAATAATTTAAATACTGTGGCATTTAATATCTCCTAATATCTAAAAAACTCAAGTGCTTTCATTATTATGAATCTTGACTGAGGTATCAACCATATATTCTATTTGCTTTACATATTACCCATGTTAAACAGAAAGATAGCTTTTTTGTTTCAAGTATACAAGTTTCTTTTTGATGACACTGGATGACTGAAATATAAGTCATCAGATGGATCAATAGTCATTTTTTTAAAGCTTTAGCCAAGAGTTTCAGCACTGAAAGTTGCTGGAGAGGCTGATCAAGATCAAATCTCTATCAACCACCATTATCTCTGCACACTTCTGATTTACCTCCACTATTGAAAAAAGCGCAGAACTGCCATTCTGAATGCATAATGGATGGTGTGTTATTCTTTAAAGCATGTTTTCAACAGGAAAGGTATTTGCACAGGCAGCTTTGCACTGCAACGGTACCAAGATGTGGTAAAAGCTGCATTTTCTGGGCAAAATGTGAGAACATTGATAACCTCTCTAGGTTGCCATGGAGACTCATTTATGGAATGGGAATCTATCTCGGGTCTTTTGTAATTAACTGAACTATCTCGTGTTTTCTTCAAGCCTGAAAAATAGGTCTAGTATCTGTGTTAAACTAAACACCCGCTAGAAGCATTTGCTGTTTATTGTGTAAATTAAATATTGTCCCTGAAATGCAGGGACAATGCTACAATGTCTGTCTTGTATGCAGGCTGGATCCAAATTTTAGTAATTTGAAAGTAAGCTAATTTATCCAAATACACCCTAATGCAGGGGTCACCCACATGGTTCTAAAAATGTTCTAAAAATAGCACAACTCACCAGTAAGCATTGTCTAAAATTTTATTTTATCCTGTAGCTATTCTTCTTTAATCACATTTACATTTATATAGATTTGAAAATGACAAAATCTTAAAAAAACATTTAAAACATGTTTATTATACATGAAGTTTAGATAAGTTTAGGAGGGCGTTTTAAACTGGTAGCCATTCGTATGTAAGCATGAAGTAGCTCTCAGTTTCAAAAAGGTTGGTGACCCCTGCCATAATGTGCTACAGGAGCGTAAGTAGTATTATAAGCAAAAGACTGGTGGAGTCATGGAATATTTAAATGAAATATGGAAGGAATGTGCTGAACTGAGGGTTTTAAATATAAAAATATAGCAAAGTACCAAGTTAACATACAGGCATATTGATAATCAAGGATGAAATTACAGGGGTTCCTTACATGGAAATATAACATTCAAATAACTTTCTGAGGGATAGCCAACATGGATTTAGGAGAGGTAAATCCAGTTTAACTAATCAAGTTCTTTGAGGAAGCTACAAGAGGAATTTATCACAAAAAGGCCTACGATGTGATCTACTTAGATTTCCATAAGGCCTTTGCTGTTGTCCCCCACAAATGGCTCTTGCTTAAGCTCAAAGCTGCAGGGATTTTAGGAACTGTAGCAGCTTGGATCGAAAACTGGTTAACTGACAGGAAGCAGCGAGTAGTTATTAGAGTCACAGTGGGCCTGCGTTCATAGTGGGGTACCACAGGGTTCAATTTTTGGACCACTATTGTTCCTAATTTACATTAATGATATTGACACCAATACATACAGTAAACTGGTTAAATTTGCAGACCACACCAAGGTGGGTGATGTAGCAAATACTGATCTAGCAGCAGAGAGGCTACAACGGGATCTTGATTTAATTAGCGACTGGGCTGATATCTGGCAGATGAAATTTAACGTAGATAAATGTAAGGTAATCCATGCAGGGAGCAGAAATATAAAGTTCAGATATTTTATGGGTTCCACTGAAATACAGGTAGCTGAGTACGAGAAAGACCTCGGCGTGTATGTTGATGCTTCCATGTCCCACTCTCGCCAGTGTGGGGAAGCAATTAAAAAGGTCAATAGGATGTTGGGTTACATCTCTAGGTGTGTGGAGTTAAGTCAAGGGAGGTGATGCTACGATTATACAATTCCTTGGTAAGACCCCACCTAAAATATTGTGTGCAGGTTTGGTCACCATACCTTAAGAAGGACATTGCTGTCTTGAAAAAGGTTCAACGTAGGACTACAAGAATGATTCCTGGTCTTAGAGGAATGTCTTATGAGGAGAGGTTAGCTGAGCTGAATCTGTTCAGCCTAGAGAAAAGGAGATTAAGGGGGGACATGATCCAGGTATATAAGGTCTGATCTGGATGCTATTCAGCCAAATGGCTACTTCAATATTAGTTTAAATACTAGAACTTGTGACCATAGGTGGAAATTAGCGGGAGAACATTTTAAACTGAATTTGAGAAAACACTTCTTTACAAAGCATTTAGTTAGAGTATGGAATAGTCTTCCTGCTAGTGTAGTGCAAGCTAAAACCCTGGGTTCCTTTAAATAAGAGCTAGATAAGATTTTAACAACTCTGAGCTATTAGTTAAGTTCTCCCCAAACAAGCTTGATGGGCTGAATGGCCTCCTCTCGTTTGTAAATTTCTTATGTTCTTATGAACTGTTTACAAAAATCCTGTCTGTGTAAAAGATTCACATAATCCTTAAATGACATCCAACCAGGACACTTGGAAATGGATTCCCTATATCCCTCATCAAAAATGACATTGCCCCCTGCCTCTTTAATCAATAATATAGGTCAGGAATTGACCTGGATTTGAAGTCACATTTTCCTTATTGGTGACCTCTGCTGCCTCCCAAGCCATTCAATAGGACCCTAGAATGCACACGAGTTATTTCCATATATATATACCCACATTGTTACAAACAAAAGGGTGAGAAAATAAATTATTTTATTTATATTAAATTTAAATGTATTCATTTTAAATAAATCCCACTGGCTTCATACATCAGGAAAAATAAACAGCCAATTCCATTTTAGGTCCCAGCATGATTAAAATTGAAATATCAACAGTAGCTCAACAATAATGAGGAGAATCCTTTCAGAAAAATCCATCAGTACAGTCTGATTTTGCTCGGATAACATCTCTGGAAATGTGAGACTGACTTGCCTCGTTTTCAGAGATCTGCTCGAAAGGATATCCACAGTAAACCACCGTAGTACATATTATGTCTGTTGTCTGACTGAATGCAATTTATACATAGAAATTATTTATGGGCAGATTAATGTCTGCACTGGGAAGTTTGGGGGTGTTTCCATTTTTTCTTTATACCTCCACTGAGACCATTGCACATGAGTTTGAATGTTTTTCTCAGTCTGATGAGAAATACAGTTGTACCTCGGTTCTCGAACTTAATCCATTCCGGACTCCGGATCGAATCCTAAAAAGTTCGAGTTCTGATCGAATTTTTCCCATAAGGAATAATGGAAAACCAATTAATTGGTTCCCGGCCCAGCAAAATTGCACCTAATTTTTTAGCATTTAAACACAAAATGAACAGGATAAAACAAGAAGAGCATTTTTTTCAAAATGGCTTCCAAAACAATAAAGATCTTATCCTAACATTACCCCTGTGCTGCCCTGATCGTCCGCTCCTTCCGTGTGCCACGCCCCCTC